GAGGAGTGAAAGATTTGCACACTGAAAACTATAAGACATTAATGAAAGAAAGTGAAGAAGACACAAATAAGTGGAAAGATATTCTGTGCTCATGGATTGGAAGAATTAGTGTTAAAATATCCATACTACCCAAAGCAATCTACAAAGTCAATGCAATCACTACCATAATTACAATGGCACCTTTCACAGAAATAGAATGGAACCACAAAAGACCCCGAATAGCCAAAGCAACCTTGGGAAAGAAGGACAAAGCTGAAGGCATCATGCTCCCTGATTTCAATTTCAAACATATTACGAAGGTATAGTAATTGAAACAGTATGGTATTGGAATAAAAACAGACATGTAGATCAACTGAACAGAATAGAGAGCCCAGAAATATTCATATATAAATGGCCAATTTATGACAAATGAGTCAGGAATAGATAATGGAGAAAAGACAGCCACCTCTTCAATAAACGGTGTTGGGAAAATTGGACAGCCATATGCAAAAGTATGAAATTTGACTGTTATCTTACACCATACATAAAAATGAACTCAAAATGGATACAAATTTGAATCTAAGACCTGGAATCATAAGACTCAGACAACAGAAGACAACACAGAGTGTAAGCTCCATGACATTGGTCTTGACAAGGATTTTTTTTCTTATTTGATGCCAAAAGCAAAAGCAATAGAAGCAAAAATAAACAAGTGAGACTACATCAAACTTTAAAACTTCTATACAGCAAAGGAAACTATCAACAAAATGAAAAGGCAACCTGTGGAATGGGAGAAAATATTTTCACATCATTTATCTGAGAAGAGGTTAATATCTAAAAAAATAAAGAAAGTATACAACTGAATGTCAAAAAAATTAAAAACCTGATTAAAAATGGATAGATGATCTGAATAGACAATTTTCCAAAAAAAACATACAAATGGCCAACAGGTACATCAAAAGGTACTCAACATCACTAATCATCAGGGAAATGCAAATCAAGACCACAATGAGGTATCATCTCACACTAGTTAGAATGGCTATCACCAAAAAAATAAGAAATAACAAGTGTTGGTGAGAATGTGAAGAAAAGGAGTCCTTGTACACTCTTGGTAGGAATGCAAATTGGTGTAGCCACTATGAAAAGTAGTATGGAGTTTCCTCAAAAAAGTAAAAATAGAACTACCATATGATCCAGCAATTCCTCTTGTAGGTATTTATCTGCAGGAAATGAAATCACTATCTCAAAAAAGATATCTTCACCCCCATGTTCGTGGCAACAGTATTTACAGTAGCCAAAATATGGAAGCAATCTAAGTATCCATCAACAGCTGAACAGAAAAAGAAGATGTGGTGTGTGTGTGTACACACACACACACACACAGGAATATTACTTAGCCATAAAAAAGACGGAAATCCTGCCATTTGTGACAACATGCATGGATCTTGAGGGCATTATAATAGGTGAAATAAATCAGTCAGAGAAAGACAATATATTATCTCATCTATATGTGGAATCTAAAAAAACTGAACTCACATAAATATGAGAACGGATTAGAGGCTGCCAGAGGGGGGTGATTGGGGGTGGGGTAAATGGGTGATTGTGGTCAAAAGGTACAAACTTCTAGTTACAGGATGAATAAGTCCTGGGAATGTAATATAGAGCATGGTGACTATAGTTAACAATGCTGTATTGTATATTTGAAAGTTGCTAAGAGAATAGATCTTAAGAGCTCTCATCACAAGAAAAAACAATTTGCAACTATGTGGGGTGATGTGTGTTAACTAAACTTGTTGTAATAATCATATTGCAATGTAAACATATATCAAATCATTAAGTTGTACACCCCAAAGTGATACAATGTTATCTGTTATATATATATATATATGTAAAGGAAGGGAGGGAGGAAGGAGAGTTTGGTTTAACCAACTCTTTGTGTTGCCTAGAGCACTCCTCCCCCACTCCCACCTTAAAGTACAATCTGATAGTAGATAATTAATTACTAATTTTAAACTTCCTAAGGCAGGGGCCAATATATAAGAAATAACCTGACTGGGGAAATGAGATATCTACTTTAAAAATAAAATCCCTCTTTGTTTTAATCCGCCTAGCTCTCTACCTCTCAGGTTTAAGAAACTTGAAGACTCACAGAATTATGTGGTCATAGGGAATTCCAAACCCAATAGAGGTTTAACTGCTTAAAATCAATTTACTCAGGTGAGTAAATTTACTGTGTGGTAAAGGAGGCCACACAGAAGAAAACTGAAAAAGGCTAGGTGGCTGCTGCTATTAATGTTCCCCCCACGTGGGGAGGCAAAGCCTCTGTTAGGTTTAGGTTCATATCTCAGCTCCCTCCAAGGCATTAAGTAACTGTGGTTGCCATAGTTGTGCAGGGCTCAGATTTCCCTTCAAGAAAACAACCCGCCACTCAGCTGTGAGGCGTGCAGGTACCTGAAACCCTCCAACTGCAGTGCCTTTGGGATCTGCTGTAGCATTTATACTGAGATCACACACTCCCCAAGCAGCCCCCAGCCGATAATGGGGCACAGCCAAGTTACCAGGAGCCGGCATTTTTGCCCAGCATCGGACTTCTTACAGCAATCTATGTGCTGGAGACTTGCCCAGAGCTGCACTGCAACCGGAGGCTCCTTTTATCCCATCCTCCTTCCTTCACCCTTTCCTTTCACAGGTGTCAGACTCGCAAGGTGCTCTGAAATCTTCCTCTGCCTCAGCCTGCTTGCTCTCCCCTTTATCTTTCCCAGGTGTTACCTCCAATAAATCTCTTGTACTTTAACCCCATCCTGGCATCCAGTTCCTGGAGAACACACCCAAGACTAAATTTTGTTTTCTTATCCCTAGAAATGAAGATACTATATCCATATTTAGATTGGTAAGGATTAAATAACATCTACACACAGATCCCTGAATATAGGAAGCAGACAAAGGTAACATGGAGCAGGTGGATGGAAAGGTGGGAGGAGGGGAGGAAAACTGTCTTTACCTTCTATAACGAGTACAGGTTCCTAATCCTATGTCCTGCTTTACAGCATACCTTTTTAGACACTGGGGAGAGGAAAATAGGATGAATTTCCAGATGCTAGAGGGACATACTGGGGAAGATAAATGCTCAGTGGGGACTGGCCATAGAACTCTTGTGGATGGGGTGACACTTGATTCCCTTTTCCAATACAGTATGATCTTCCTGGAGGATTTTTCCTAGGAAAGGAAAACCATATTTATGTCCCTTTCAAAATGACATTTCACAATGGCATCTACAATGTACTGTCACTAAACACCCTGCCTCATAGTCCTGATGGTTATTTTGATGTTAAAGGAGAACAGATTGAGTTGACTCGACATCTACCTTGAACATTTCAAAACCAGGCATTGATATCAAAGAACGTGGAGAGCTCTCTAATGTCTCTTTAAACTGACAGGGTCTAGCCTGTTATCTTGCATTAAAAGGTACTCAATAGGTATTATCTGACTTGATGGCAGAAAATCACTGCATAATTGAATAGATATACTCTAAACATTGGGCAGACACTTGGAAGAAATCAAGAAGTACACCACCATACTAGTACAAGGGAAACACTAAGATTATTGCTACCAAGAAACAAAGATAAAAATACAATAGAATAAGATTGTATTCCTTGGGACAACAGAAACCAAAGAAAGTATAGCTTTGGTGCATTGTTGTATGATGAACCTGTTTACAGAAGAAAACTGTAAGAATAATCCATAGGAAAATAGAAAGAAAAAGCCAGACGTAATTAACAAGCAGCATTTTGCTTCCTCGTGTTTTATCCTTGCTCAAGAAAAGAGTAGAATAGCACACCTTTCACGATCCCCAGGTGTTTACTTCCTCAGCCACACATTCCATGGGCGCATTCCCCAGTGTCAGACTGACCCGCCTTAGAAAAGAACCACTTATTCAGCAAAGAAGAACTGTGCAAATAGCTCATTTCATGTCATCTTAATTAGCCCAAGATGATGCTTCTGAAGCGTTCTGCTTTCTTATCAACACTACCCTTCCGACTGCAAGGAAGGAAGACTTTGATGTCTTTGACACCAACTCAACCTCAGGGACCAGCATCAGGACCAGCAGATCTTGCGTGAGTGCTGTCCAAGTTGCTGTAAAGCGGGCACCTAGGATGGGTTTGCCTTTTCATTGGAACAAGCTGTACTGTGCAGCGGAGAGGGCTAGAAAGTGACCTTTGGCATCTGTGTTTAACAACTGAAACACGTGTACTTACTCTGTGCTGGGAAGGTGCTGGGCCCAGAGTGATGAGCACTGTGCCTCTGCTACCATGGAATCTCTGGTCTTCTCCATTTGAAGGAAAGGGAAGAAAGGCTAGAAAATGAAAACACAAGTGAAGGAGTACATTGCTAGTTTAGCAATACATTAGTTACTGGTAAGAAGTCTGCCCACCTCTTTTCAGTTATTTGCTTAGACCAAGGCTAGTCCACAGGGAAACAGTCAGAAAGCTGCAGGGACCTCTCAGCATTTGCTGTGTTTCCACCTGGCACCAGCACCAGATAGAGTCCTCGGTGGCCTGGAGTGTTCATGCGGCCAGAAAACAAGAGTGGAAATGTCCCCTGCTCCAATTAAGCTAGCGTCCCATGCAACCTGATGGCTGAGTCACACACACCCCCCTTCCCCGTCTCTGCCAGTCACTTCATTTACACATTGTTCTCACTCAGCCTCTCACAGGAAGACGTCTTTCTGAAAGTGCTTGCAGACATTATGTGTGAAAAAAACAAGGAGAGTATAAATAGCTTTTCCCTTCTAATTGCAACTTGCTGCTCACATTTTGCTTCCTGAGAGCTCTGAAACGGGACTACCCCAAACCAATAACAGCACAGGAGCCCTGGAAGGGCAGGTTGATGTCTCCCGCTGAAGGAGACCAAAGATGGAGAGCGAACTACAGGAGACCTAGGGGGTCGTTTCAGACTTGAGGGAGCACATCTGCCCAGGGTGGAGCACAGCCAGGGGAACAGGGAGTGGCTTTCCGGAGTACCTGGTGGGTCAGCTCTTTGATGCATCGCTCAAACCTGCGGGCTCCCCACTGGGCCTCCGCGATGCGTCGGACTTCGCTTTCCAGTTCACCATCCAGTTCACAGACCTGCAAGCAAACCACGGTCTCAGATGACAGACGGGCAGCCAGCAAGCCAGGCGGGCATTGCATTTGCCTGTCGGCACGATCATTTGAAATAGTGACACCATCAGGGAAGACGGGTGCACTCTCATTCTGGCCGTGGTGAAACAGGGCAAACTCTCTGGGAAAACTGCCTTGCCAAAAGTGAGCTGGCTGAACTATGTGAGCTCATAAAAGGGCTGTTTAGACTCAAGGATGTGAAAGGCTAATCCATGCAGAGGTGATAAACTTCCCCTCTTGGATTACAAAATTACACACACATGTGTATGATGAGTGTACGTAGTGTATAGAGAGAGAATAAGCTATATATAGCACTCTTTAAGAATTCAGCCAATGTACTGCCTCATCTTAAGCTACTTTCTCTGTGTTAAGCTCTGACTCTCTAAAGAAATCAGACTCTGAGTTTTTGTCACACATATGTCACCCACAGCCCCATAGCCCTGCTTTGTGGGAGGGCTGTAGTGCAGATGAACAGCTGGCCTGCAGCCTTACAGAGTTATACAACCAAGGTTAACATAATATTCATTCAACAAATATTTGTTGCCTACTATGCACCAGACACCAGGGCCAGGGATACAGCAGGGAACAAAACAGACAAAAATCTCTCCCCTCTATAAGCATCCATTCTAAGGAAGGGAAACACACAAACGAAACAAAATAAAATACAGACTATGTTAGATGGTGATAAGTGGTATGGAGAGAAATAAAGCAGCTCACGGGGTAGGGGGTTGAAGGGGGAGGGTGTGTTTCATATGATTTTGCAATCACACCAACTACACAAGTTACATTCAGAAGGTCTAGCTTTTATCTCTGTGTTCTCTTCCTATGAGTAATTGTTTTTATTAGTCCTTGTTTTATTCTGTCACCAATTCTTTTTGAAAATACAAGCAAATGTGTACATGTCTTCATATTTCCCCTCTTTCTTGCACAGAAGTTTGTATACCCTCAACATCGCCTGTACCTTTTATCATCATTATACCACTAGCCATGATCTCCAGGACATTACAGAGCTCTTCCTCGCTCCTTTCTAATCAGTGTGATTATATGGATGTACCATAAATGTGCATTGGTATTCCATTATACGGATATACCATAAATGTGCAAACACAGTACTTTATTTTTCAGGGGCCCTTCTGAACCATGAAATCCCAGTCAACTATTCTTTCCATCCTTATAGCGTTTGTCACATGACCTATACGGTGTCACTGAAATTGATTCGATAATTTTAAAAATCCTATTTTCAAGCTAGGTCTTGCTGTTTATTTTTGAGCTCCCTAAAGGCAGCTACTACATCATTCCTGCCAGGCCTTACTGTATTTTCACTAAGTCTTTTTTGATCCTTGATTTAGTTATTTCCCTCCCCTTTCTCTGGCTGTTAGGAAACGGGCATTCTCCACAGAGGAAATAACAGGAGCAAAGGCACAGAAGCAAGACTGCGAGGGTGTGTTTGGAAACAGTTGGTCTCCCTGGCTGTGGGGAGCCCTAGAGCTGGCACAGGTGAGCGGGAGGTACCGCATTGTTACTTAGCAGGATGGCGGATTGCACCCAGTCCAAGAAAAGTCCTATTTAGTGGCCCAAAGTCAAGAAGAATGAAAGAATATACTGAGCTCTGACACTGTCAAAGATCGGAGCATGTTACAAGCAAAAGTGAGGAGGGAGGCAGGGACTATCTGGTATGATATTACGGGACAATAAGCTTCGAATTGGGAGTTGTCAAGACCCCATGATTATGCAGGCGAACTCCTACCCTGGATTCGAGTTTCTGGCTTTGCTTTCTATTCCCTATCACGACAGTCTGCTCAGCGTCATCCAGCCTTTCCTGTAAGTCTCTGTCCGCTCCATGTTCTCTCTCATCCTCTCCAAGCGGGCATTGGTGTCTTGCTCCTTCATCAGTTCTTCTGACGTGTTTGCTACCTAGAAAAGAAGGAAAGGGACAGAGACAGTCCAGCAGCCAATCAAGCTTGACATTTCTTCCCACAGTCTTCTGTTCCTGATGTGACTAGGTGCCATGCCTTGCCTCTGTGTACTTAATCTCTTCCCACCACGCTCTCCCTGACCTCTGTGGCCCTCGAGTTTGTTAACCAGAAGGCAATCACGATAGCAGCAGCTACTGGAGATTAGGGTGAGGGGTGGTGGAAACAGACCAGAGATGAAGCACCATGTGAGTATTATTATACAACACCTGTATTGAAAGAAAGATGACCAACTGAAGGTACAGCTTTTAACTGAGTAAAGCACCAGGACGCGTCCTGTTAACATCATGCACCAGGAAACGTGTGGAGTGCCTATGAGAACCTTTTTCACGTCTCACTTCTATAATTCTGTGATTCGCAACTGCAAACAAATTTAGGCTCCAGGAATTTGGTAGCAGCTGAGGCTCTCAGTGCCAACAATCTGGCACAAGGAGGGTTAATTCTTGTGAAGCCCACTCTTGGCTATGTACACTAAGGGCTTGGCGTCTTGCTGCAATTGTTAAGAACTGTTTCATGACTCTCTCAGTGCCTTTAATGTAAGAACACTGCCCTCCCAGACAAAGTTTCTCTGTCTATCAGGTTACCAACCATCTGTATAATTTAAGTGTGAGACGTCTGTGTAGATGGTGGGGGCAAAGAATGAACGACGGAGGTAACTGGGTTCTGCTATGTGGGGTTGGAACTCACAGCTGAACTATTGGAGGATTAAAGCGAGGAAAGAGGTAGTGAGTTCATTTCTCAACACTGCCAAGGAAATCTTATAAAGATGAGGTTATGCAGATAGAGTCTTCCTAACGTGTGACTGCATAGACCTACCAAGCAGGAGTAAAAGCTCTTTTTATTCCTTTCTATCCATGTGGATTTTCGTGAATGTTAAGCATATTATTTTTTCCTTGACCAAACGCTTTTAAGCTTTCACACACCTCTTTTCCATCAGAAAGCATCTGCTTTGATACAAAATGGCTGAGTGCTAGGCACGCTTCCCCATTCGTCTGGATTCTACAGTGATCTGGTAGCTAGGATTTGGTGCAAAAGTTTTGTTTAGCTCCCCAAATGCTAAATAACTCAGTAAGCTTTTCCCTCCTCTTGAATTTTAAAACGACTAATGTAAAATCGAATTGAATATCTTGTCTCCTCGATTCCCATATACTTTTTAGCGAGAGCATCAGTTTTCACTCACAGGGCAAGGTCAGGGCTGCTGCATGTGTTTGTGTGTCTGATGGACTACACAGACCACCTGATGGGGATGGAGTGGGTGGAGGCTGAAATCAAGCCCAAGCTCTGCTCAGCAAGCACTGGCACTTGCAAGGCTGGGTTCTTCACACACAGACTTCTCCTCACCTCCCTCCTCCATGACATTTTTTTTTTTTTTCTGAGTATTGCCTTCTGCTTGCCATGCCTTTTGAGAGAAGTCTGCATCTACCCACGGTGGGGGTCCAGCAGGTGTCTTTTTCCAGTTCCCACAAAGGTACAGTCAAGGCAGCCAACCCTGAGCTTAGTCTCATTCAGGAAAAGCACCACTATCAACAATTTTAAATTTGCAGATAACGAAGGTACACCAATCCTGAAGCCCTTCTTCACCAACCTGACTCTGTTACTGAAGCAATAGTATGGGCTGTAAAAAATAAGTCAAATAGGGACTTCCCGGGTGGCGCAGTGGTTAAGAATCCACCTGCCAATGCAGGGGACATGGGTTCAAGCCCTGATCCGGGAAGATCCCACATGCCGTGGAGCAACTAAGCCCATGTGCCACAACAACTGAGCCTGCGCTCTGCAGCCCACGAGCCACAACTACTGAAGCTCGCATGCCTAGAACCCGTGCTCTGCAACAAGAGAAGCCACTGCGATGAGAAGCCCGCGCACCGCAATGAAGAGCAGCCCCCGCTCGCTGCAACTAGAGAAAGCCTGTGCACAGCAATGAAGACTCAACACAGCCAAAAATAAATAAGTAAATAAATAAATAAAAATTTTAAAAAAATAAGTGCAATAAGCATTCTTTGCAGATCATCATAAAGCTATTACAGACCCCAGGAAAAATAGCTATGGGTAAGGAAACACAAGAGGAATTGTTTCTAGACACTAGATATATTGATTTGCAAGTGGAAAGTGGATTAACTTTTTAAAAAATCTCTTGCTTTCATAAGATTTTGCCTATGGCAATTCAGCTGCTCCTTTTCACTGTGTGGACAGGGTGGAAGGGAGGAGCCAGTTGGCCTAATTTTTCAAAATGGGGACAGAGGCAGAGGGGTCAGCTAACCTCCCGCTAGCTATATGGAGAATCAATGGAATCCTTTTTGTCTGCAGCTTTGCCCTTGCCCCTTGGCTACCGCTCCCATCAGCTCTGAAAGACAGGAGTAAGCAGACAGTCAATGGACCCACCTCTGTAGGTGGCTTCTTGGCTTTGTCTTCTGCACTTTGACACCCTCGCATCACCTCTTCAGCTTCCTTCTGCATCCTGGCAACATCAACCTCCAGTTTCTTCTGGCTGAGGAGACTCGTGTTCTAAGGAAAAGCAACATCCTCATTAGGCAAGTTGAGATCATTGGTGCAAAGGCAAGCTGGTCTGTTCAGAACATGCAATGGGAGGGGCTCTGACCAGGAGGGTGTTTTCCTCTCCTCAGCCACACTCATGAAGCCATACTTCCAGGCCCAGGAGACCACGTTAGACTTGGATGCAAGGGATTTCATCCATCAGAGGTTTAGTACCAGAGAGATGACAGCCTGAGTCAGAAAGGAGAAATGGACCCAGACAACCTACAAGCCCCAAACATGTGTTTGGTTTTCAGCTGGCTGAGGAATACGTTTTTCTGCCTTTTGCTCTTTGATGGGGAAGGAGCAAGTGTCCCAGAGCAGAAGTCAGGGTCAAAAGCAGACATGTGGAAAGCAGGGGTTTAGGGAATAAAACTCAGTGTCCTGCATGCTGCTCCAGGGGAAGAACATCTTCCTCACTATCTACCTCTGCTTCTATTAATTTTGCAGTGAGGGGGTGGGCAAAGCAATTTAGATGAGCCTCATCCCCCAGGCCTGAGAAACCTCCATTACACTGGAGGATTATTTGTGTTCTTTGGCTGACGCTGCCCTAATCCTTTCCTTCCTGGGTTGTGACATTAGAGGCTGAAACTCCTTTTTGGTCTGTGTTTGTAGCACAGTTTTTCTGAGGGTGTGAAATCTTAGCATAGAGAATGTATTTAAAAGGCATAGCCTTCCTATTTTTAATTTCTCTTCTGTTCATTCACTTTTCCTCTAGCTAGTACCTCTCTCAGTGGCAAGATTAAGCCTTTGGAAATAGGAAGAGAGATACTCCAGCCTCACAGGTTCTACCCTATCTCCTTGATGGCGTGAAGCATCTTCATCTTCAAGGTTGCTTCTTCTGTCCTTATGGAGAGCCAGGCTCTGTGTGCCTCAGGCCTCCCACTGCCATGGGTGTGGCCTGGAGGGATGAGGGTATTTCCTGGAGTATGCTGGGATGCTCACTGCACATAACTCCATAGGAACTCTTTCTTTGTAAAGAAAGGTACAGTATAAATGGTGATTCATTTATACATAGAATCATTTAAAACCTGCTAGGGAGTTGATGGTTAAAATCTTTTCAAGCTGAATGATTGGTTCGGTTTGGGAAGCAGCGGGTGAGGGAGTACTGTGCAGAAGAGCAATCTAGATTGTCACAGCTCAGGTTTGAAAAAGGACACATGTAATTAGACAAGGATAAGTTTGGCCTCATATGTTCGTTCCAGGCTAGAAATCTGGGGATGCAGAAGGTTCTAGAAAATACTCATTGTATGTCAATCAGAAGATTGACGGTGTTCCAGTAATTGCAAGGGGGCCACCAATGGCTAAGGTGGGGGAGAAGTCCTTTGTGAGCAACACGTCACCTAGGCCAGAGCTGCTCAAAGGGTAGTTTCTGCACTGGCAGCATCACCTGAAAACTCGTTTGATTCCTCCTACTGCAGAGATTCTGATTCAGTGGGTCTGGGATGAGGCCTGAGACTGTGCATTTTTGTGTTAGTTTCTCTTGTACGCGTAAAGTTTCAGAAACTCTGCTCTGGAGATCAGGGCTATTACCTAATTTTCTTTCTTCTTTTTCACATCTATCTCCTTCTCTCTATGTCTGCTTTTGCTCTGGTTGATGTCCTTATCTCTCTCTAGGCTAGTGGTTTTTCATCATACTGGGACCCACTGGTATATCATCAGTTATAACATGAATGGCAAATAATTTGTTACCAACAGATATTAAGTACTACAGACAGTGAATGATTTACTTTTTAAAACTTCAATATTCTACTTTATAAGATTCCCACTCATTGTATTTAGTTAAGTTTTCTTGAGAGATAAAGAAAATATTGAAGTAAGTTAGCCTGTTGGGAATTATGCATAACGTATAGCCTATTTGTTTTATACCACATGGTATCCTAATAGGATCGTGTCATGCACATGGGCACAAACTGTAGGCACAAACTAAATGCACTGCCTTCCAGCAGGTACATCTTTGGTTTATATCAATACTTCCTTTTATCCAGTGTTTCTCAGTGGGGTCACAGTTGGCATTCTGGGAGGAGCAATTCTTTGGGATGTTGAGTTATCCTGTATCTTGCGGGAGCATTAGTATCTTTGGACCTTGCCCACTAAATGTCAGTGGTACTTCCCAGTCTCTATGGCAACCAAAATGATCCCACAGATGTTTCTAAATATCCCAGAGAATGGCACATCTGCCCCTAGTTGCATTAATCCATCCTTCACAACAATCACCAGAGTAAACTTCCTAAAATGCAAATCTAATAACTTGCCTCCCAGTTACTCACAATTCTTCAGCAGACCCCCATTAGCCGCATGATAGAATTCAAACTCCATCAGTCTCAAAATCAAGATCCCTGGTGACCTGGCTCTACCTGCCTCTCCCTTAGCATCAATTCTGCTGATCTCTCCTACCCCCTACCGTATGCTATAGTAAGTATATCAATTTTCCTTAACATCCTAAATTTCCTCTTTTCCCCATGCCTCTGACCATGACTTTTCTCTCTACTTGGCTGACTTCTTCCATGTCCTTCATGACTCAGATTAAGCATACTGTGCATCTACCTAAGTCTAGGATCATCAGGGAAGGCTTTCTGTAGGGTTGTGCTTGCTTTATCACTACAATCCCAGCAGTGCACTGCAGTGTGTTAACTTAGATCTCCACCTTTTTAGGACGATGGAGATATTTTGCATCTGTCTATACCATGCATACCTGTTCAGCTTACGGTGGGTGCCCTAAAAATGTTTATCGAGCTTTTGTCCTAGCCACTATGGCTTCTCCTGATTCCATGAGAATGGCAACGATTTAAGAATTCTTGCTTTGTGTCACTTACATAACCTTCCATGAGAAGCCAGTCCTGACAGTTCATCATATCTGTCAGCAGCCACTCAGAATTGTTTGAAATCTCCTGGCTCTGAAGCAGGAGCATTTATTTCGAATCCTGGGATGCTCGGGGAATACATGGCTTAGCAGGAAAAGGAGAAGCAGGCAAATGATTCTGGAACCCTAGCGAATGTTCCTCTCTCTCTCCCCAGCACCCTAGCTGTGAGTACCCTGACAGTTCATTCTTCTGGCAGGGCTTAGTGTTTTGGTTCAAATTGTGTCCCTCCCCCAAAAAACATATGTTGAAGTCCTAACCCCCAATCCTCAGAATGTGAACTTACTTGGAAATAGGGTCTTTAGAGAGGTAGTCAAGTTAAAATGAGGTCATTAGAGTGGGTCCAAATCTAATATGACTGATGTTCTCATAAAAATTTGGAAATTTGGACAATGACAGATACAGAAGGAAGATGATGTTAAGATGCAGAGAAAATGCCATGTGAAGGAGGTGAATTGGAGTGACGTATCTATAAGCTATGGAACACCAATGATTGCCAACAAACCACCAGAAGCTGGGAAAATGCAAGGAAGGACTCCCTGCAAGATTCAGAGGGTGCAGGACCCTGCCAATGCCGTGATTTCAGACTTCTAGCCTTTAGAACTGTGAGAGATTACATTTCTGTAATCAGTTTGGGAACTTGGCTGCTGCAGCCCTAGGGAACCAATGCATCTGGGATGAATGAAGGGCGAGACCGCCACTCTGCTGCCAAAGGCTCTCCCTGCCTCACCGGCCACCTGCAAGGCTCCACGTGGCAACCGTGTACCGTCCTAGGCCAACCAGTGTGGATCCATTGCCTCCCACCAGCTGACATGGCTAATGGTGAGTTTACAGGCCCCACCTGGGTGTGGAAAAGATTGATTTTTTTCCTGTGGCTTTCAGGAGCTCTTCCTCTGCCAGCCTGCGCCCGCATTCTGTCTGCTCATGCGAGGCCCTCAGCTCCTTGAGTTCAGCCTGGAGAAGAGCGTTACGCAGCTCGGCCACCGCCAACTGCTGCTTCAGCTCACTGTTCAGGCGTGTGCTGTCCTCCAGCTGCGCCCGAAGGTCCTGCGAGAGAAAACACGCGCGGGGGACGTGGATCCCTGGCAGTTCAGCGGGACCTGCGCTTACGCATGCGTGCTCTGAACAAGCCCCAGCGATTCAACGTAAGCATCTTCCTGCTCTCCCGAAGGATTAGATTTGCTGTCCTCACATTTATTGCTCAACACAACCTGCTGCTTGGTTTGCTCCCATAAGCAGAGACATCCCTGCCTCACCTCTGCATTACAATTGAAAATACCTTGATCTGGAGCTGAAGCTGGCCCAGGGATTTGGTTGCCTCTGACACCTGGCGGTTGACACGGCTGAGCTGGAGTTCCATCTCAGTGAGGTCCCCTTCCATGCTCCTCTTCAGCCCAGTGCCCTCAATTCTGCTCCGAACTCGACTGCAGGGAGTCAATAGCACACTGCTGCTTCCTCCTAATTTTAGAATAACATTCAGGGGAAAAATCATACACCCAAATTAAGAAAGGTTACCTGCTTTGTACACACAACTGTTTAGGAATCAGAAAAAATTAAAATTCAAGAAAAATTCTGTGTAATTAACAAAATGAGTCTAAAGGGTCTTCATTTGGAAACCATGGAGATGGAAGGGTTAGGTCAGTGAGCATTTGTCCATCATAACAGACTCATGTCCATCATTCCCAGACCAACTTCCCAGAAAAATCAAGAAAAGCACCAGAATCTTTTTGAGGTTCCTGTGGGGCAGTCTTCGCCTTATCTAAGACCCCCTCCAGGACGGTCTAGATTCCCTAGAGTGGCTAAGGGTGAAGGAAGGATGCACTTTCAGACCAGCATAATATTTAAATACTTTCAACGGTGAAACATGTCTGAACATGGCAAGAAAGAGCCACCCAGGTTGGAATAAGTCCTGATCGCCAGCAATCCTGCTCTAACAGCCTGGGACACCAAATTCCCCTAGAATAGCATGGTTATCTTTCTCCAGGCGTTTGGGAGTACAACCAAGGATAGGCTGAGAAAACCAACTGCTGTGTGATATTGAATTACTTCAATATGCCTTTATAACAATGAAAGGTCCATGCTGAAATCATTTTTGCAAAGTTACAGAAGCTTACACAATAGATGTGTGTTCAGAGAGACAATGAAAAACTGTGGGGAACCCATGGCAATCATTTCCTAGGACTCTTGCAGTAAGTCTGGGACCATGTGACTGAATGCTGACCAATGGACTACGGGCAGAAGTGTTTCCAAGGCTCACACATACAGCCTTTTACTTGTGTGATCCTGTGCTCTCTCTTCCCCATCTATAGCAAACTTGGTGGCCACACATGGATGATCTGGCATCAGAAGATGGAAGGAACCTGGGTTCTTGAGAGACTTGGGATAGTGACCCACTCTCCATCCTACCCCACATTGGACTCTAACACAAAGCAAAAATAAACTTTGATGGTTTTAAGCCATCAAGATTTTGTGGTTGTGAGTCAGGACAGTGTAACTCTTATAACACAGGCCCTGTTAAGCTCACCCTATGAAACAGGGCCTAGAACTGGGCAGATAAGACAAGACATACTCATAGAGCCCATCAGCACACAAATAGCAGACACATATTCATCTTGATTCAGAATTAGGTTCCACACTGAGCTGTCTTTGAGCCTGTATTCCGATCTCTGAGGCCAGCAGCGAGTCACACAGCCTACAGAGGAGTAAGAGTGTGGTCAGGGTTTCCCGTTGGGTGACAGGTGGAGGGGCCACTTTTTGTGATCACCCTCACCCCATGGATGGGGCGGAGGTTTCAGAAGTAGTTATGCAAATGTACAGGAAAGAACTCTTTCTGGTTCCAGAGTCAGCACCTCTCCTTTGCCAGCGCCATGTCCTGGCTCCCACATGCTGCGGCCAGCCTCTCCTGCCTATCCTTAGGTCCTGGGCTTTTGTTCTGCTCCCAGATCAGAATCCTACAGGAATGCCAGCATGTAATGTTACTAGGGACTGTTATGGCTGAATTTTGTCCCTCCTCTCTTCCCCCCAGCCAAATTCATATGTTGAAGCCCCTAACCCCCAGTACCTCAGAATGCAAGTAAATTTGGAGACAGGGCCTTTAAAGAGGTGATTAAGTTAAACGAGGCCCTTAGGGTAGGCCCTAATCCAATCTGACTGATGTCCTTATAAGAAGAGGAAATATGGACACACAAAGAGACACAGGGATGGGTGTGCACAGAGTAAAGAAAATGTGAGGACCCAGCAAGTTGGCCACCTGTGAGCCCAGGAGAGAGGTCTTAGGTCCAGACTCGCCAGCAACTTGATCGTGGACCTCCAGCCTTCAGAATTGTGGGAAACGAAATTTCTGTTGTTTAAGCCACGCAGTCTATTTTGTTATGGCAGCCCTAGCCCGTAATACTACAGTGACACACACTCAGCATCACTGAAAGCTTTAAGACACTGTTCTGTCTTACATGAGGAAACTCATTTTTGCCACAGTTGACTCTCCTTTTGCAGGAACACTAAGGCGTCTCTAAGCTGGTGTCAAAATCCTCTGCACAGAGATATATTCTACTTAGGCAGACAAAATGAATGTTTCAAATTGTACTTTTTCCACCGTTGTTTATGAAACTTCATGAGTGCCTACAGACAAGTAGAAAGTGCTACGGTTTAAGAGGCTTCTGTATAACACAGGCCTAGAGAATGGCCACTAAACAATCAGTGCATTCCATGCAGAGTCAAGAAATCTTTAAAATGAAAGCTCCTTGAGTACGTTTCTTAAGAAAAATGAAGCAGTCAGGACCAGGGCAATATGGTAAGAAGTTCCTTTTCTTTCTTTCCTCTTTTTTTTCTGAACTGTGAAACACAATTTGAGGAAAGAAACCAAATGCAAACAAGAACAAAACCGTTCTTTTTTAAAACTTGAAAAAGTTAAGGATTTAAATTGACAGTCAATTCAATCAGTAATATTTTTCTCTTGCCATGTTGCTCGTCTATATCAGGGAAATGAAAGATTTTCCTTAATTCTAATACATGCGATTCAGCTTTAAAGTGATTAACAAGTTATTTTGCTAACTAAATGCCATGTCTGAGTTTGAGCTGCTACTTCTTGAAGTCGCACTAAAATATTTTACTTAGAAATGAGAAGAGATTTAAACATATTCTTCTGGCAGAGACTCAAACAATAAAAGAAATTAAGTTGGATAGTACATGTAAATTGAGACCATGTGGCAAAGTTCGCTATTACTGAACTCAGAGGAGAGAACAATATGGAAGGAAAAGATGACGGAATGTTACCAGGTACCTGAGGCCATAGGCTGGGGGTGGGCAAACTATGGGCTATGGGCCCAGCCATGACCATTTACTTTCTTATGGTCTATGGCTGCTTTCAAGCTACAATTGCAGAGTTGAGTAGCTACAACAGAGACTCTATGTCCTGCAAAGCCAAAAATATCTACCATGTGACCCCATACATCTAACCCTTCCACAGATGATCAAACCAAAGCAAACAAGCACACTTCGATAGAGTAAGGCATTTCGATACCTCATTCCCAAAAGCTCCTTCCACAGCACCTCGCTGGGTGTGTCCAGGGAGAGCAGAATGCAGGCCAGGGGCACCCTCGTTCTGGGTCACTGAGAAGACTGCCACACATTTCAGCATTTCCTTGAATACCCTGAGTTGGGAGGGGGATGTATATAGTCAGTGGCCCGAGAAGATTCAGGATGCAACTGACCAACTTGTTCTCGACCCAGTCTGGGGCCTTGTAGCAGGGCCTGACTTAGACTGCAGTCATGGCCGCCAGCCGGCCTTCAAGGAGCCATGATGTCACTCTTCCTTTCCTGTGTGGATGAGGGCAAGTATCAAAGCTAGCCATCAAAGCTCCTCCCCTCCTCCAGCAGTGACTGCACTGTCACCTGCCTACCTCTAGCTCTGCTAATTATAACATTTGTAGGGAAACAAAAAAGCCCTAACACTCCATAAAAGTTTGGGAAGCCCCGTCTAGAAGAGCAGGCACAGCGTCTTGCCAACATGAAGCGCTCAGATATCTGTTGAGCAAGTGAAACATACAACTCGTGTACCAGCTGCTCATTCTTTCACCACCAACAGGCTTCCAGCCCGGCTCATACAGGATCAGTCCTCACCGAATGGAAGAGCAGCGGGCTGGGTGGCAGAGAATGAGTGAATGAGTTACCCAGTTTGCAGCTCTACCAAGGTTTTGCCTTTGCCTCTGAGTCTCTCTCCTGTCCTCCTGGTCCCTTCAGCTTCTCGGGTCCTGCTTCACAGGCCTCCTTCGGTTTCTATGGAGCTTCCCAAGGATTATGTGAAAGAGGACCTTGAACCTCATCTTTCCCTCAGGCAATATTTCCCTTGAGTTCTGGATTTTACATGGTTTACCCTTGATTGCTCAAAATCGTCTGCTTTGCTAGTATTTCCCCCTGGCATTCTCTTCAGTTTCCTTAAGATCCCATCCTCTCCTAGCCCTGAAGTCAGATTAAACCCTTGGATTTGACCGAGGCATTGTGATCCAATCTCCACTGGCACAGGGCACTCACACCGAAAGGGTCTGCATGGTATTTGTGATATTTTGTTAAGATATGCTCATCTTTCCTTTCTGGATGTACCTGTGACAGTTATTATGAATCATTAACTAAAACTCATGAATAGCTTATTCCTCCCTTCAGCCCGCCCTTCTTTTTTCAGCCCCTTCGCAGCTCCTGCCTCGTCTTCAGTTCTTTCTTCTCCCAGCCCTAGCTGTTTGGATCTCCAGCTTCCTTTGCACTGAAATTATTATAATTGGGGAACAGCTCTACAACATTCAGATGTATCTGACAAGATGCAGACTCTCAGGGTTCAGTTGTACTTAGCTGGGTTTATTAATAGGCACAGGTTTGACGTTACCTGAAACGAGGGGGGTTTTTTTGTTGTTTTTTTTTAACGGCGCAAGGAGACATTCGTTTTTGTTCCTCATGGAAGGAAGTAGGGCAAATATCAAGGCCCAATGTTTTTGCCCTCCATCAAAAACAAAAAATTCTTTTACACAAGGACTCAGAGCCTCTTAAGTAGACCAGAATTCACCCCTACAGTCAGTCCTACAGAGGAAAGTGCCAGTGAGTGAGAGCAAAGATAACTCAAAGCACACAGAGGACCAAATTTGGCTTGACATCCTCATTAAAAAAATGACCCCCACGGGAGTTTTGTCTGAAGATGGGCTATGGGTAAGAGGCCAGTTCAACTGAACATGGTAACTTTTTCTTTTAATTGTTTAACAAACACGTTAAAAGCAAGTTGCCAGTCGAACCTCAGACTCAAAAATGCTTTTCCATGCTGACATACGGCATTGACTTAAGGGAACAGATCAGATGCATAATACAATCATAGTTAATTCCATGTGTTTATAATTGTGCCTTTGATCTAGAGTGTGAAGTGCTTTGCCAACATCAGCTTACTGATCTTCCTCACCACCTTCTGTGACACAGAGGGGGCTGCTTTCATCCCCTCACTTCACTGAGAAGCTAAGAAGCAAAATTTCTAAAATCATCAGCTTGTTATGATGAAGCTAAGAAGAGATCCTGCAACCCAGGACTCCTGTTTAATTCAGTTTCCTGACTATTAAGACTCAGCTGCTTCAACAGGGATTCATAAGCAGCTTAGCTCTTGGCTCCGGCCCCTCTCCAAACAAACGGCTACAGGTACAGGCAGGGGGGATGTGGAAACTTCACTCTGATCTGACATTAATTTTAATGCCCAGCATCACATCTTTTAGTTCTTTTCCTCCACTATTTAGCATTACCAGTCAGTGTCTTGAACGCTCAAGAAAGCAGCTTGTTGTAGGGAAACCCAGACAGTATACACGGTCCTTGTCCACATACTTATTCTTTTTTGGTGTGTTATCTTGAGTCTTGTATGCAAGTAGAAGCTGCTCAAAAAGAATTTTATAAGGGCTTCCCTGGTGGCACAGTGGTTGAGAGTCCACCTGCCAATGCAGGGGACAGGGGTTCGTGCCCCGGTCTGGGAGGATCCCACATGCCGCGGAGCGGCTGGGCCCGTGAGCCATGGCCACTGAGCCTGTGCATCCGGAGCCTGTGCTCCGCGACGGGAGAGGCCACAGCAGTGAGAGGCCTGCGTACCGCAAAAAAAAAAAAAAAGAATTTTATAAGAAAATCATAAAAAACTGATAGTAATCGTGTAGAGGTATTCCTTTATATTAACAGTGCTGAGCTTACTAGAAAGATTCTAGTGTTGGGTTAGACTGGCTGTTTCTTTGGTAATAGTCCAACAAGGGTCATAAAAGCAGCCAAACACAGTGGGTTCTGTTCAGTTAAGGATTCTAAAATATGCAATTGTTGCTCATCAAAATAATTGTAAATACCTACATTTTTCTATCTCTTCATCTGTCTCTGAAAGCTTTCTTTCAATTTCCGCTTTAGTTTCTGAGAGTTCAAGCTGCAGATGAAGAATCTTGCTTTCGTTGCGTTCCAGAGCTTCCTGAAATATATAAATAAAAAGCACTTAATTCAGCCCACTTTTGGACAAAACTGTTTTTTCTCTAAACGTATATCATTAACGGAGCTCTCTTTAGAATTGCTAGGAATAATCTAAGGTCAAATCACATCCCTGAAGATTGGAACAGGATGAGAGACAAGTGATTACTTTTGTTTGTCACATCACCTATAGATCTGATGTTCTGAGGGCCTTCAGCTGTAGTTCAAGAACTGGAATCTAAAGCATTTTTAAAATAGACATTTTCAATCTTGTCTGTGACTATATTTCAATTTTTTAATTTATTACCCTTGACTTTTTCGAATGTTTCCATCGTTGGGATGAATCAATAAAAGCATCAAAACTAAAACAAGGAAGGTGATAACTCCTACCTGGAAACTTTTATTTATTTCTGGACATCACAGGGGGATAGAAAATAAGTTGAAAGCATTCAGAGAGCAAGAAATAGGACAGCACTCAAATAAAGGAATTTATGATGTACCTGACACATAATGCTTGGTGTGAGCCATTATCACCATAATTACTACTATTATTTCAAATGGATTGCTTTGACAGGCAGGGAGAGTTCCTGCCCCCTTGAGTATTTAAATATAGGCAAGGCACATACTGCCAGGGATGTTATAAAGGTGTTTCAAGTTTGAAAGCGTAGGTTTGATTAAATCTTTAAAGGCTGTTCCAAAGATAAAATTCTATAGAAGAAACAAACAGAACACTGGGGGTGGATGTTTATAAAGGGCACAAGGGGTGACCACCATCTATTGGTCAGTTAACCATTGGCAGACAGTCCTGAGGGCAGACGCAATTTTTCTAACCCCTTCTGAGGAGTGCTTAGCACATACCATCAAAAGTAAAAGGTAAAACTGAATAGCAATTTCAAAATAAAAATAAGAAAGATGTTGGGACTTTAATATGGCTTACAGCCTTGCTGCTGTTCTCTCAATACTAACTTCAATATAATAGAAAATAAATAAAAAACAAATGCTGGTATAGCAATTTCCTCCGAGGGAATGATGCCCTTCCTTCAGGGGGAAACTGTCACCTCTAACCCTTTTGAATGCACTGAGAAAGTGAAGCTTTGAAGGTGACCTGGGATAATTTGAGTTTTGTGACTTCAAAAATAATCTGATAACGTTTTTCATAAAGGCTCACTCAGGAAAAGAAATAAACCAGTTTTACAAATACATGTCCAAGCTGATGAAGTATTTATGGATGCAGCTGAAGACAAAACTTGAGAAAATGCGAATAGAATATAATGCCATCTAGTGCTACTGAATGGTATGAGCGCTGTGGCCTTAGTCATCTCACCTTCAACGGGCAGCTCAATTTAACGTACAAAGATGTTAGTCTATACGTTATATAGGACTAAAGTTGCCCCGCCCAATCACAGCTCTCATTGGCTTCTCATGTTGCTTGAAAGTTCCACCATAAAAGTTACTTCTTTGGGTTAAGGTGGTGGCTTTAGAAAGTCCCTAGCCAGGGTGGCCAGAGAACCGACCGGGAACAAAAGGAACAAGTGAATGAGACAAAGTTCACCCACTTTACGAGGACCGGCCTTGTTAGGGGACACCACACTGCCAACTGAAAGGATTCTACATAAAATGTAGAGGCCTTGGGGCTTCCCTGGTGGCGCAGTGGTTGAGAGTCCGCCTGCCGATGCAGGGGACACGGGTT